CTACAGCATCTAACAGCAAAGGCTAAGATGGGGGATGGGCTAGACCAAGCATTCTCTGGCGTGTGCAAGAGTTGTGGCTGGGATCAGGCCCAGTCAGGTAGCTAAGGGGACACCCCAGCTGGGTTGTTGTTCCCACTGGTGAATGAGAGCAAGGGATGGAATGGGGGCGGCAATCTGGGTTGGACATGGCTGCAGTGTCACTTGGTGTGGTTGTAGACTGGGTTTGGGGCACACTGGACTGGACTAGACTTCAGCACATAATGGTGCTCATGAGAGTCAGGGTAGGTGTAGAACAGGCTGGACTATATCTCAGCTTCCGCTGAACCACATGAGATCTGTGTCTCAGTGTAGACCAAGTGTGACTATACTCCCAACAGCAAGAACTGGAATGGGTGTGAGCCAGTTGGGCAAGGCCACTGTTCCTGCCGTGACAGGACTAAGCCTGAGCCAAGGACCCACTGGTGTGAGCGAAATCTGCCACTGGCAAGAGACCTAATAGAGGAGCTTGGGCAACTCTTCTGTCAGGACGCAGACCCTGTAGGTGAACACAAAACCAAGGCAAAGAGCAGCTCAGAGCAGGTCAGTTACAGTACCCATTGGTATATCTATAGATAAGGTCTGGTGGCAGGCCAGGCTGGGCTAATTCATAACAACCACTGGGCAGATCTGAGAACCAGGACAGGATGTAGGGCAGGTTGGGTGGGTTGAGCCATAGCATCAGCCAGTTCACATTAGAACAAACGCCAAAGTGAGATGGGCCTTTCCAGACTGGGCCACAGCACCCTCTAGCACATACGAGACCTGGTAGTGGTGTGAGAGGGTGTAAACTCAGTAGGGGAGCTGTGGGGACGCTCATGCTGGGCCACTGCTCCTGCTGGTGAACATGAGAACTGGAACTGGGGGCAGATCAGGTTGGGCAGGGCTACCACACCTGTTGGTCTATATGTGAACTGGATTAGGGGAAGAACTAGGCTGGGCTAACTGACTATATCCACTGGTACAGGCATGAGTAAGAGTAAGGGCAGGCTGGTTGGGCTTTGCCACAGCATCAGGCAGCAAGGGCTGGGATTGGGGGCAAGTCCTGTCAAGCTAGACTGTTGAACCACCTGGAGAGGGCAATATCTGGGGTAGGGAATAAGCTCAGTAGGGAAACTATGAGCAGGTCTCTGATGGTCTGCAACTCCCACTGGTGAGCTTGAGAGCCAGGACTAGAGGCGGGGCTGGCTAGACAAGTGGTGGCACCTACTGGCGTGAGTGTGGGCTGGAGGGTGGAGTCAGTTGGGAAGAATTAGGCTTCTATGCCCAATTATGCATATGAAAGCTAAATAGGATGTGGGACACACTGGACTAGCCCACTCTATAGGTTAGCAGGCACAGGAACCAGAGCTGGGGACCATCCCAGTGGGGCTTATTGGGAGTCTCTCTGGCTGTAGTTCCTGATGGTGTGTGTGAGGGCCGACGGTGTGAAGGGCAGTGTTGGGCTGGTTCGTAGCACCCATTGGTTTGCATAAGAAATTGAGCTGGAGATAGATTTGACCTAGCAATTGCAATTATCCGTGTGGACATAGGATGATTTGGTGACAGAATGAATGGACCTCATAAAGGTGGGTGCACACGCAAGATATAGGCCTGAGATCACCTCAGATGAAATTTCTTTCAGGGTCCTCCCAACTAAACTGCTGGACTCATAACTTTAAGCGTGGGGAGGGTGGCGGGACCTGTGATCTGACAATGGAGTGCATGTGTCAAAACTGGTCCTCCTCAGTAGCTTTGATGTTTCAGTGGACGGCATACCCAGAGACACGTGGAGGATATATCGTCAGACCATGGGAGCCTGCAGAGGACACCTGATACTATAGCAGAGGAAGGAGGGCAGAACAAATTGGCCAACTACCCCAATGAAGCATGGTAGAAAATGTCTCAGTGAATAGACTCAGAGGTGGACTGTGTCAGCCAATGGACCTTGGGAAGAATATTCTCCTCCTTGAATCTACAAGACTGACAGCATTTCAGAACCATCAAAACCAGTTGAACAGAATCCTTGGAGCAAGCTCCACATTGTAAAACTGGAGGGGAACTCATTGGGAAGGGGAGAGATACCAGGAAGGGGAGAAGAGAGCCCATTTCCTATCAAATTGTGTTATAAAACAAAATAATGAAAAAAATTTAATGTAATTGTATGAATATGAGATATTAGGTGAAGAAAGGACTCAACTCAGGTGATGTCTGTAGATCCCTCACAATGAAATGGGAAAGGTAGCAGGATTTTGAAGTGAGACTTCCTGAACTTGAACTTTAGTTCTCTGGCTCCCTATTTCTAAGAACCTTGTCAAGTCATGTGATATCCTGTGCTTCAATTTCTTCATGCACAAAATTAATTTCTTTTGTAGAAGAGAGGAAAAACTTAGGACACTGAATAGTACAGGATAAGATATCTGATTTTACACATTTATAGATGTGTATATAATATATACGTGTATAATAAGAAAGTACAATGTAATAATTATGCTATGTTTATATGTGAATATCTTTTGTTTTTAAGTTACATCTTAGCTACCTGTCTATAGGAGGACAATGGGGAACCTCAGCAGTGTAAAACTGTAACCAACTTCAATCATGCCAGAAAGCTCGGAGAACTCAGAACAAAGGTCTTGAAGCAGCTGCACTGGAATAAGGGCACAGGAACTCTCTAATCCGAAGCCTTGAGAACAGATCAAAGAGAGGTGCTTTTTTCTAGTGTAAGCTGTTTATAATTAGTAGCCTGCTGGGAAAACATACTCTTGCTCAACTGACTTCCTTTCCATGCAAACAGATAAACCACATTCCTGTTTCAGACCCTCCTTCCTTATCCTACTTACATGACCTTCAGTCTTGAAAAGTTTTTGCTAGTAATAAACGTTGGATATTGACCATCAGTCAATAGTCTGTGTGTGATTACCAGCTCCATGCACCAAGTCCCTCACTGTAGGACAGTGACACCCGTCCAAAATATATGCATCACCATTAATTTCCTGGGTCTCAAAACCTACAGGATCTATGAATTTCTTTAATTTTCCAATTCTGTTACCTTGAATGAAATGGCACAATATGGTCTGTCAACCTTTATTCCTAACCTGACTCCAAAGCTACTAAATTTAATGAAAATTTAAATGAAAAATGATAATTTAACGATCTCCTGAGGAATCACCAAAGGCGAGAGAAATGAAAGAGTGAAAACATGAAGGACGGCCATTTGACATAGTCAAGAAATCCTGTGCTGGTGTGTGCACGAGGCAGAGAACTTTTCTCCTTTTTTTCTTTAAAAAAAAAAAACAAAAACAAAAACAAAAAACCACTTCTCTACAGTCCTTTAAAGTCTCATTCTCTTTTGTTTTACAAATATTTCAAATGTTTTCCGCATTAATCCCTAGGGTTAGTGTTTGTCATTCTTGTCATTCTGAGACTCCCATCTTCTGACACTGGCCTTTTCTTAGTAACAACTGTTTATTTAATAAAACCAGAGAACACAAATGCAACAACATCACCACAACATACTCTTTCCTCGAGAATCTCCGGGGGCCCTCTGTTCTGAAAAACTGGTAAAATTTTCACCAAATCATTTTTTAAAAAAGATTTATTTATTTTTCTTGGAAAAGCACGTATAGAGAAAGAAGGAAACATAGAAAGATCTTCCGTCTGCTGATTCACTCTCCAAGTAGCTGCAATGCCCAGAGCTGAATTAATCCACAGCCAGGAGTCAGGCGCCTCCTCCAGTTCTCTCATTCTGGTAAAGGGTTCCAAGGCTTTTGGGTCGTCCTTGACTGCTTTCCCAGAACAAAAGCAGGGAGCTGGATGGGAAGTGGAGCAATCAGGATATGATCCCAGCGCATGCAAGGATTTAGCCACTAGGATATCACACCAGCCCAGATTTTCACAAAATCATTTAGGGGTATAGCTGCCAAATGGTCCTTGGGTTTTCCTCTCCTGAGAGTCTGAGCTCCAGCCACACTATATGTTTTTCCATCAGCATCTTCCAGAAAGCCCTGGCCTTCAGGATCAAGGGCCTGTCTCCAGTCCTCCCACATCGGCCAGTTCCAACAGAAGTCCAGGGAAGCATACTGGCCACTTTCCCAACAACCCCTTTCCCACATTTGCCAGACCAGGCTTGTTAGAGATACAGGTTTGTGACTTTTACCTGCCAGGATTCCCACTTCACGTTTAAGGCACTGTGTCTGTTTATCTGTGGAGAGGAGGTGTACAGAACTACCAAAACTAGAAGCAGAACTCAGTTTAGGTCACAGTCATTAGGGTAGCTCCATGGTAGCCCAGTAGGTAACATCTAAGTCACCCTCCTCGTTACTCCATCCTTGATTGTCTTCAGTAACTAGTGATCCAATCCAGGTTTGCGGCTCCGTGGGATTTTCATATGGTGCATGATGTTCTAGCTTCAAGCTTTTCTAGATAAAATCATATTCCACAGCCCTCCAACAATTTTGCAAGCATCTTCCAACTCTACACAAGGCAACAGGAGATCTGTGTTATTTCCTTCACATATATAAATAATTTGCATAAAAATAAGGATGTAGATCACTTGCTTTTTTCACCAGTTAGAAGCCATCTGCTTGGAAGAGCACTCTGAAGAGATGAGATTAGTCTCCTGCCAAAAATTATTTTTTTATTTACGAGAAAAGAAGGAAGTTTTGATCTTCTCTCTCGAGTTTGGCTAAAAATCGAGGCCTTTCTTTAATAGTTTTGAGAATTAGAGTCATTTTCCATGAAAAGGCAAAAACTAATATGAAATCTGACTCTCCACGAATCATTCGGTAGCAGAACCAAGGTTATTCCGCAGAGAAGAGTTTTAGGGGATTCAACTTTTGGGGTGACAACAAACACAAATGCTCCTCCCCCGAGGGGAGGGGCGATGCTCGGTGATGCACCAATCACAGCGCAGCCTGCCCTATAAAAGGGCCCCCGGCGCAGGGCCGGCCGCTCCCTGCTGGCATTGCCCGGAGTGTCCTGCTGCTGCTATGTCCGAGACGGCTCCCGCAGCGCCAGTCGAACCTGTGGTCGTCCCTATGGGGAAACCGTCAACCAAGCGGCGAGGGAAGAAGCCGGTTGGCTTAACGGGTGCGAGTCGCAAGCCTCCCATCCCCTCCTTGTCGCAGCTCATCACCGAGGCGGTGTCCATGTGCCAGGACAGGGCAGGCATGTCCCTGGCCGCGCTCAAGAAGGCGCTGGCGGCCGCCGGCTACGATGTGGAGAAGAACAACAGCCGCATCAAGCTGGGGCTCAAGAGCCTGGTGAGCAAGGGCACCCTGGTCCAGACCAAGGGCACCGGCGCCTCCGGCTCCTTCAGGCTCAGTAAAAAAGCCACTCCTGAACCCACCAAGAGCAAGGTCAAGAAGTCTCGGTCTCGCAAAACCAAGAAGGGGATCTTAACCCGGGACTCCAGGTCCCCGAAAAGTATCAAGACCAACAAGAAAGTGAAGAAGCAGAGGAATACAGCTAAGAAAGCTGTCCGTGGTGGCAGGCCCGTTAAGGGAGTCCAGGGCAAGAAGCAGAGTAAGAGTCCGGCCAAGGGCAGACCAGCCAAGCCCAAGCCTTCCAAAGCCAGACTGCCCCAGCAGAAGGCTGGTCAGCGGAAGCTGTCCACGAAGAAGTGAGGAACCGCTAGCGGTTAAATTCAGGAAACCCAAAGGCTCTTTTAAGAGCCACTCCCGTGGTCTGCAAAGGGTGTAACTCCGTTTCTGTAACAAGGCCAGCCAGCCTAACAGCTTTGACGGACGGGTTAGAACCAGGGTGGGTGAAAGCACGGGTCTCTGACAGTTACTGTTGCCAAATCACAGCAGGCACGTTACCAGGAACTAGTTACCTGCTGGAAGTGCTCAACCTGTACTGTGATTTCAGCGTGGGGATAAGAGTTGTGTGGTATGGTTTGATTACACCGCATAGCTGAAGTTGTGCTAGTCCCACAAGCTCAAACATTGTCTAGTAGTTATTTTGCAGTAAAATTATGCTTTCTGAGCACATTTCATAAGCCGAACAATTTTCGAATACATGGGTTGGTGCACCTTAGACTGAAAATTACAAGCCCAGCGCGGTAGCCTCGCTGCTGTCCTTGCCTTGCACATGCCAGGATCCCATGTAGGCGCTGGTTCTAATCCCGGCGGCCCCACTTCCCATCCAGCTCCCTGCCTGTGGCCCGGGAAAGCAGCAGAGGACGGCCCAAAGCTTTGGGACCTTGTACCTGCGTGGGAGACCCGGAAGAGCTCCTGGCTCCTGGCTTTGGATCAGCGCAGATGTGGCTGTTGTGGCCACCTGGGGAGTGAATTGAGTGGAAGATCTCTGTGTATCTGGCCTCTTTTCTGTGTATCTGGCTAACCTTTTAAGATTTACAATGTCACGTAGAGTACCTTTTTTGTATGCAAAGTAACTTCGACATCTGTTAGCTCAATACTACTAACTTTGCTCAATTCAGCGACTTTGTAAACAAAGCCAAGGGCAAAATAAACGCTGCTATGCAATGCATTATTAAGTATGCAAGTTACTTTCTCTGGCTTACTAGGCAAGCACATTTGATCAGGTAAATGTCATAGCCTTGAGGGTACTATGCTGCAAGACCATACTGCACCTAATAAAGTAGATCTGTTCTTTCACAAAGAATAAACTTGCATTCCTACACGAGTTAAATTAGTTTGGAGTTGGCCAGTTTCCTTCTACAAGGTTCTGCGTTAAAACAAAAAAAAAAAAAAAAAACATGGTTTACAGAGGAAACTGCAAATTGCGGAAACACATCTGATTTGCTCGGGAGTAACTGATTTTCAAATGGGATAACAGGGACCTGTCTGGCTTCTAGCATCACTTGCCACACAGCACAGCTCTCTCCAGGACCTGGTGGGCGGCCCTGAAAAGGGCCTTTGGTTGATAGTTCGGGGTTGCAGGAGCAGCTTTAGCCGCCGAAGCCGTAGAGGGTGCGTCCCTGGCGCTTGAGCGCGTAGACCACGTCCATGGCGGTGACGGTCTTGCGCTTGGCGTGCTCGGTGTAGGTGACGGCGTCGCGGATGACGTTCTCCAGGAAGACCTTGAGCACGCCGCGGGTCTCCTCGTAGATGAGGCCCGAGATGCGCTTGACGCCGCCGCGGCGCGCCAGGCGGCGGATGGCGGGCTTGGTGATGCCCTGGATGTTGTCGCGCAGCACCTTGCGGTGGCGCTTGGCGCCGCCTTTGCCAAGGCCCTTGCCTCCCTTGCCGCGACCAGACATGTCTGCCAGCACGGTGACGCCGCCGTTGGCTCAGGCCATTAAATACTGCGTCTGCGGACCTGATTGGAAACGACGGCTCCGTGGGCGGAATTGTTTTTCCGGGTTAAGTCACCAAGGGGGCGGGGCCAGGGAGTGTTTTGATTGGCTACTGAAACCCAGCTCTTCATTGGCTGCAGCGGAAGGGGCGGTACAGATTTGGGCTGAGAAGGAAGGCTTGTCTCCCGTAATGTCCTTGTTTGGGCCTGGAGCCTCTGCCAATGGTGGGTGTTACCTGCTCACTGACGCAGATCCTGCAGCCTCATTCTCCATTCCCCTCCGCCCCGCAAAGCCTTACCAGACAGCCAACTGGGTAAAGTACAAAAACTGTCAAAAAGTAGAAATATCAGTCAAGAGATTTTTTTTTTCCTCCCGTTTTAATATTTCTATTTAAACTAGCGCAGTTTGATGGGTGCTTCCGTGCTCGGTAAAATACATGCCTGACCACGGTGAGGTGCTACACCCCCTGGTTCCAAGGTTCGGACGGAAAAGAAGATAAACATACTGTAAATCACAAAATCTCTTAAATATTGGCTTCTTTCTCTTGACTCTCAATAAGTGACCCCATTTTGTACAGGTTTGTGAAAAGCAAGGAACACCCAGCTTTGTTTAAGCAACCCAAGAACCGGGCCTCTCTTGGCTTGCTGCTCCTGCCTGACCTGCTTGGAACTGCAAATATATTTTCCCTGACTCCTTTTCAAATGCCTTTTCAACCTGCGCTGGTTTTAAGGGTGAACATGGGTTTTGCAGAGTTGGGGATTAATTGTCCTGTAGGGCTAATACTTGATTAAGGTCATAACAAAGCCCAGAGTCCTCCCCTTGGACTCCTTTGTTGAGATGATTGGCTTTGCAGCAAGGGTAATCTGATTTTTTACAGAATGGCAGAATAGCATAACTGGGTCTGAATGTGGCTTGAACAGATCTCTCAAGATGTTCTTGGCTTCCTGTTGAAGCTCTCCAAGAAATCTCCAGAAAGATAGACTTTGGCTAAACACCACCTCTTGCCCATCATCCCAGTAAATAAACAGCTGCTGTGCATACTTAGACCATGACCTGAGGGAGACAAGTCAGAAACTCCCCTTTGCTCCCACCCTGGGATCCTATCTGCTCCCACCACCTTATAACAGAAGATTAAACGGAGAAAGAATGTGAAACATTACAGCGAAAGTGTCAGCTGAGTTTGTACATGGAACTCTTAGAATCTCAGAGTCTCAAGAATGATGGATTTGTGGCTGTTGATGAAGGACTATACTTATTGTTATAATACAGGGCAAATGGTAGGCTGGGTAGAGAGGAGGAGGGGAAGGTAGACAGGGACATCTCTGAGCCTAGGAAACTGTATCATGAAAAAAAATTCTTGATTTCAATGAATAAATAAAATATGCTAATTTCATGTGAAACACATGGTATGAATCCTAAATCTACAGAAACTCCTCAGATAAAGTCAATCTTTATTACCTGCTTTATTACTAGGAAACCTCACTTTTATTTTGACATTCAGTTTATTCTTGCTTTGTTTTTATTTGTTTGAAATGAAGGAAGAAAGAATCAGAGAGGGAGGGACAGATTTCCAATTTGTTCTTTGATTTTTTTTCCCAAATATCTGCTTCCACCAGGGTTGGCCCACAGGGAAGCTGAGAGCCACAGTCTCACTCTGGGTCTCCCAAGTGGGTGGCAGCGAATCAATTATTTGAATCATCATCTGTGGCCTCCCATATGAGCTGCAGCAGGAGGCAAAGATTTGAACCCAGGAAGTCTGAGACAGGTTATGGGTATCCCAAACAGAATCCTTACTGTTTTGTTAATATACACACATAAGATGTATTCATTTCTTTGAAAACTGCTTCAAAGAGAGACATAGAAAATTCCACCATACTCTGGTTCTCTCCCTAATGACTGTAACCGCCAGCACTGAGCAAGCTGAGGCCAAAAGCCAGGAAAGTGGAGTCCTTGGGTCCCTGCTGCACACACAGGAGACACAGATGTAGTTCATGGCTCCTGGATTCAGTCTGGTCCAGCCCTGGGAGTCTGCAGGCCTAGCGGAGTGAAGCATTGCTTCCACTGAAGCAACAGCTCTGCCTCTGTCACTCTGCTTCTTGAATAAAGAAATCTTTGTGTGTGTGTGTGTGGTTTTCAATGTTTTATTAAAACACAAATAAAATGTTCACCCAAGCTGGCTATTCATTTTCTTGACTGCACAGCCTGGCGTTGGAGTTAGTAATTCGGATGGCCAGCTGGGCTGCCCTTTCATTGATGGCTTTGTGGTTCTTGGGGGAGAGATTGTGAGCAATTTCTGCATTGTAAGACTTGTTGCACACCTGCAGCACCTCCAGCTTTGTGTTATGTCCAAGAACATGCAGATGCCATTGGGCAACAGGTGCCTTGTATTCTTGTTGTTCCTGTACCGATGTTGGGCACCAGGATCTGGGCCTTGAGTCTCTGCCAAGCCTTATTGTCACTGCCAATTTTGGTAGCATTTGCCAACAGGCCTGAACCTCCTGCTGTCCTTGACTTACAGAACACAGGTGATTGCCTTCTCTTCTGTTCCCAGTTCAGGCAGTTTAGCTCTCTGATTCCGACGAGTGTGGTGTCAAATATGCAGTTTCTATCTTATGTTCTCAGAATTTCAGGGCCTTTTCTGTACATAAGATGCTCTGGCCACCAGTCCATCCAGCCCTTCACCGAACTCCCACGCCCGGGGCTCAGCAGTTACATGACAAGTTTGAGTCACTGGCCTCGGCCACCAGGTGGCAGCATTCTCCTTGCTACCACGCAAGGAGATGTGTTGGAACAGAACTCACAGCCCAGGTTTTTGATTTTTCAAATGTAGTTAGCTTTAAGATTCGATGGCCAAAGTCAGAAACATTAAGTTACAAAAGTGATAGAAAATTGAGATTAATCATTCCTGTTGGCTGCCAATGTTGTTATATTTGTTTGAAATGTGACTAATGCAAACCTGTAGTACTAAACTGTAATTTATCCTTCTGCTTTAAGCATTGGATTAGAGAAAACCTGCCAAGTGCTTTCAGAATTGTCCACAGAGAGAATAATCACCATTTTACAAAGTAGACAATCATGCTCCCAGAGTGAAAAATACAACTACCTTTGAATGAGAGTATTCCATAAGACAAAAATGTAAAAGGAATTGAAAGCCATGGAAATGTCAAACATTACAAAAGGCTTAAGTGTATGTACAAGAAAGACAAGAACAGAAGTAAAATTGCATTAGTATACAATGCCATTGTACATTTATTAAAACAGATTTGTTAATTTCATATATTTCAACGTACCAATAACACTGAGAGATAACACAGTTGTTAAAAAGAATTTACACTAAGCAACTAATTAGCTTTGTTCATTTTTAACTTTTCTACAATGAAAATAATGACCTTTCCTTCACATAAGTTTCATAACATGATCCAATGACCAAACTTTTTAAGAAGTTGTGATCTCTGTGGTCAGATTCAATGCCTAGCACACGAATTTCCAAGCTGAACTGGGCTTCCTAAGACACCTGCTTCCTGAGGCAGATGGCTGTGTCACAACCAGGCAGGAAATGAACACAGTGGCATAAAACAAACGCGTGCCAAACAGGGACAGACACTAAAACTCGTCATTACAAGATCAGAGGAGCCACTTTCCCAGACCCAGTCATTCCGGAGCATCCTGGTTTGATGCATCTGTTTGGAATGTCACAACTGGAGATGAAAACCAGAATCCCAACAACCAACAACCACAGGAGGGCGCCAGGGCATCCTCTTAGCTCTTGGTAGCTTCTGACTTAGCATCTTAAAGAGACAGAGGACGCTCCAGAAGGTGGGAGGGGCAAGTGCCACCAGGTTCTGATGTGAAGAAACTGGCTTGGGATCCACTGTGCAGCCCAGAGAAGCCCCAAATGGGCCCCAAACTCCAAGCCCTTGTTGAAGAGACAGATGCCAGAGAGGGCAACCAGGCAGTATGTACAAGTACATTCCAGCTCCTTCCCTCAGCGACTTGGGAAGGAAACACTGTGTTTGAGGGATTCGTTTTCTGTTTGCCTGAGGCTCACTGAGAATCAGAGACAGAGCCGAGTGGCCCTGCAGACTCCTGCCTCCTCCACCTGCTGTACGCACCAGCAACTGCTCCCTGTCCCAGGCAGGCTGGAAGATCATCTATACTGTATAAAGAGAGACATGCAGAGATTGCACCTACTTTTCTCAGCTGTTAACTGATGCATCCCCAGGCTTAACAAGGCTTTTTGTAGAGGTGGGAACTAAGATGGCACAAGTGCAGTGGGCCTGAGGCGAGGGAGAAAACGAAATCAACCCCTGGAAGCAGCTTGAGATCCCTGAGAACAAATTCTGGGGGAGACAGCTCTCAGCTTGAGGGGTGCGGTTTGGGGTGGAGGTGCGGTGCTGAGGGTCCCTGGTGCAGAGGGTCCAAAAGGAAGTGAACAGGAAAGGTCAAGAGCGGAGTTTCTGTTTGTCAGGTCCACATCTGTGCTGAAACATGGAGAACTCTACAAGTGAGTGGGGCCCCTGCAGGAGTCTCAGCTGCTTGTCCTTGCCCCTGGTCTGCTGGCTGTGCCTCACTGGCATTCGGCTAAGACGTAGTCACCCATGACTCCTCCTGTGAAGATGAGAAGCGGTGAGATTGTCATGGAACAGACATTATCTAGCCTCTTCCTTGTCCCTTCCCATCCCCATTCACCCTTCAGTCTTAACGCCTGGCGTCCCTGGGATTTGGGACACCATTATCGCTGAGAACTGCTCCTGAGCCTTCTAAACAGTCCTTCCCCAGCGACCCATCACTGCATGGAGACTGTCGCCGACTTCTGTCACCTCAGTGACTCCTTAATGTTCCAGGGGACCCAGGACCACCAAGGCAGGCTTTCCCCTGTGTGTTTACAATCCATCACAGATGCTCAGGGTGTGGAAATGCAGAACTGGTGTTATATAGGGATAAAATGCAGCCACCCTATACTTTCCATTGTCTCTTGCTGGCATGGCTACCTGTCACTGCTGCTGCTTCTTAGCTTCAGTCTACCCTAAAGGACCACCATCCCTCCTCCCCAGCAAGCCCTCAGAAGCCCTTCTTGACCCCTGGTGAATGTAGACTGTGAATTCCCTTTCTTTGACCTACTCCCTACCCCAAAGTACTAGGTTCACACCCCTTAGCACATCAAGGCATCTCCATCTGTGTTTATGGGCATCAATTTTGTTCCAAGTGAATCTGACCTTCAGGGAGCCAGAACACCTTCCTTTCTCAGTCTCAAAGCTTTGATCCCTTTAACACTTGTCAAACAGCAGGCAGTCAAACGATATTTCTAGAATTCTAAGAAAAGTCATGAATGCCTCTCCAGTCCCCAGCAGGTGCTGGTGCTCCTCTTCAAGGAAATAAAGGGAGGTCAGGTTTCCCATGGCTTCAAAATTCCCACTGTCTCATTGCCTACAGGAGGACTATGACACGTCCCCCATGCTCCTACTCACTTGAAGCCCGCCTCTTCTTGAATTTTCGGAACAGAATTCCAAAAAAGATGCCAAGGACACAAACAAGGATCCCACTCGCAATTCCAATGACAAGGCTGCTGGAGATGGAGGGCTCTGGGACAGCAAAAGCAAGTTACAACCTTTTAATACAACCCAGAGCAGACCTCCCCACCACTGTGCAGATCTCCCTGGCTCCCTGCACCAGAGATGTGCTCTGTCCTGGGTTTCATCCTTACCCCAGGAGGCAGTGAGGGGCTGGTCCAGACTGAGGTGCTCCACCTGGCAGGTGAATCTCTGCTCTTCCCCACGGGGCACAGTCAAGGACACCAGGGCCCAGTAGGTCTCATCCCCGTTGGGAAGCACCACCTTCAACACCATATCCTTGGCTTCTAGTGGCTGCCCGTCCTTCAGCCACTGTATGGAGATGTTCTGGGGGTAGAAGTGCAGAGCCCGACACTGCAGAGTGGTTGCAGCAGAGGATATGTGGCGTGTCACCATCACTGAAGGAGGCACTTGGGGGAAAGATAAAGAAAAGGACCTTTTTATCCCATGCCAGGAAGTCTGGAACTTTCAGTTCCTCTATAGATTGGAGGAAGGACACATCCTTTCCAGGTTAAGATGGGAAGCAGAAGAGGCACCATTCTGTGGCCTAAAATTCAGTCCAAGATTGGGCTCTCCTGCCATGTCCCATTGAGGACAGTCACAGACAGGTTGGCCTTTTCTGTCCAGCATGCAGATTTGCACATCTGCTACCCACCTCCTTCATCCTGGTGACAACATGGTCCTTTTTGTGAATCGAGGATGACTATGGATATACACACTATGGATTTCATGTGGCTCACCCCCAGTAAATTTTCTTGGAAGAAGAGCCTTGTAAGATTGGGAACTTTGGGATTCTGAGAGTGGCCTTTAACTTTCAAAGGCTCCACCACATTCAGGGGTTGTCTCACTTTGGCATTCATATGCCTGGGGAGTTACGAGCCTCTCTGAATTCCTCCATGGGACTAGGCACAGGGATCTTGGCTGAATGAAAACGGGTTTCAGACACTTCTCCTTAACAACTGGCATAAAGAAGATAACCAAGACCAGGGCTGCGACTGTGACAAACAGCTCACCTGGAAGGTACAGATTGTAGGACTGGGAAAGTCAGACACACTCAGCTGCCTCTGAAGCCCCAGCCAGGGACCCTGTGCCAGCAGCCCCCTCCCGACTCCTCACTGGTGAGCTGGGCTTGGGGCGGGGAGTGGTGTAGAGGACTGGCACCTACCTGCCTGGTCCAAAGTCCCTCCCCCCACTTCCAGCCACTGTCGCAGCTGCTCAGGGCAATCCCTTTCCAGAAAGGCCTTGTTTTGCTTGGCTCGAATCTTGTGCACCTCCCACTCCAGCTTGGTGGCCTGGGCACCAGGTTCTGCTGCTGCTTTCCAATCCAGCAACTCAGGGCAGAATTCGAGGTGGTCCTGCCCATCATATCCATACTTCCAGAAGCCCCTGGTGCTGTTGTCCTCTTGTACTTCGCAGCCTAGGATCACCTGCAGGGTGTGAGACTCTGGAAACATACCCAAGCTGGTTACTGAGGTTGAAGGATCAAGTCCCCGTGCCCACCCTCATGCATAGAGCAGGAACCCCGGAAACTATCACCGTCCTCTTCCCTACTCTCCCTCCCAGCTCTGTCCCCTCAAGATGCATCCCTAAGGAGGAGCTACCCTGCCACCACCTCTCCACACACCCTGGCTGTGGTTGTTGTTGTCCATGATGGTCCACAAGTCGACGGTGAACATGTGATCCCATCCCTTCAGGCTCTGGCTCAGCTGCAGCCACAGCTGGCTTGGCGGCCCGCCTTGCAGCCATGGGGCCCGGGGTTCAGCTCGACGGCTCTCATGATTGTAGGACACGAACAGCTGGTCATCCAGGTAGCCTAATGCCTCAAACAAAGGTAGTCCAAGGTCAGGCTGTGAGGCACCCATGAAGTAGAAGAACAGAGAGTGGGAACCTGGAAAGACAGCAGCAGGCAGTTGGATGGAGCCCCACTGTTCCCCTGCCCATTGAAGTGCCAGGCAATCTTCATCCCTCCAGACTAGAATCCTGGTTAATCCCCATGCCCTCACCGCCCCAGCTGCAGCCCCAGCCCAGTTAGTAATGACTTCCTAACCCACTTTAGGAAAGTCCTGGCATCTTAGCGCAGGATGCTCAGAAGGAATAGGAACCCAAGTCCTCAGGACTTTGCCTTTGTGTCTTCACTGCTTCAGTCTCTAAGTACTCTCATATGCAAATATGTGCTGAGCAACTCTACCAGCTAATTAGCCCAGAGCCATTTTTCAGTGCTATCTAAAGCAGAAAGAGGGGAGCCCCAAGCAGCTGCCACGGCCGAGCAAGCTTGTTTCCCTCCACCTGCCCCAGCATTCTAGAAAGATGCTACTCCAGAAAGGTCCTTCCAGGGCAGGGCTGGTACAGCATCCGGCTGCTGTCATGGCAGCAGCCAGAAATACTTGTTGGATGAGCAAGTGACTTTAGGATTTTTCATCTCTGGCTCTGGACTCTACATTCTTATGCCTGCCTGCTTACCTGCCACACCAGTGGGTGACAGGATTGGCAATCTCACACTTGATCTTAGCCAAAAGGCTGAGAAATTTGAAATTTACTTTCCACAACCAAGCTTTTGGCTTTCCTCCAAACTGTTCTTCCCTCTGGCTTTATGATCTCAGAAATGGCATCACCGATTACTTCATCGCTCAAGTCAGTGAAGTAAAATGCCAGAGGAACAAAGCCACATTTGAGTCTTGCTTTCTCCCACAAAGTGCACAGACCTGGTGGTGATGTGTTTTATGATTTATCCAGACTACAACCATTTCTTGCCCCCATCCCTGCTGGGTCTGCTACAAAAGTGTCCTACCTGCTCTTCCACTTTACTCCTGCCATGCTCTGTGTCTTACACAGCAGCTGCAGTAGTATTTGAAAACGTTGGATCAGGTCACCCCATGAAGGAACACACAACTCAGCCCATCTGAGCCCAGCAGTGGCTCCTCCAAGCCACTGTCTCCCCAGACAGTGTCACCTAGGAAACATCTGGAGGTTTCTGGAGATACCTTTTGTTGTCACAACTGGAGGAATGTTACACAAAATACAATACAGGGAAGGCAGTTGTACTTTCTGTAAGGCTGCCCACAGTCCCAACACCCCGTGTTAACAAAGCAGGTCATTTGTGCTGTGCAAACATGAGTCAGCACGATTTCCCAGCCCCTCATAGGTCACCTGGGAAGTTCTGCCCCCAGTCCACATCTCCACATTAGCGTCCTTTCTTTCACATCTCCCTGGGCAGCCCAGAACGCCACTTCCCCGCCCCCTGACCTCCTGTTCCACATGCAGTCACAGCACCTGTCTCTCCCTGGCACTGCTCCTTCACTCACTGTCATCTCTTCCACAATACAGGATCTTATACAACAAGGAATTGTTTCCCAGCTTCTTTTCCCCCTCTGGGTTTGAAACACCACAACTCACAGATAGGATTTCCCATCCTATCGGACTGGCTATCAAGGTTGACTTCAGGAGAGCCATGGAAAAGTACAACTAGCTGTTTATTTTGGTGCCCCGCCCCCAAAATGAATGAAACCCTGCACAGGTTTTTCATAATATGTATTTTCTATGAATTTTGGAGAACCAGAAGGCACAGTGGAGATACCAGGTTGGGGAGTTGGCCCGTGGTCCCTCAGAATCAATAAGAACTTTGGGGAGCAGTTTGCTGTCAGCATCGACAGGTTGCAGGAGCCCCAGAGAGGGGCCCTGTTTCATCCCTCAGCCCTGGTCTGATGCTCAGGACCCTCCTGTGAGGGCAGGTGTCCATCATGGAGAAGCAGGTGGTCCACCAGATCTACAGAGGCACGACGGCCTCTGGAGTGGACAAGCTCCTTCTGCTAACGCCACCTTTTACGTTTCCAACACCATTCCGGCATGAGGTTCATTGGTCACAGCCACTCTGCAAACGCTCACTGGAAGATAAAGAAACCAACCAGTAGGCAGGACGTTGCCTCCTTGAGCTGGGTACCAGCACCTGCCCTAAAGTCCTCTTCTGAGCATCAAGTGCTAACAATGTGTATAACGTACTGAGCACAGGGCTGGACAACAAAAATCACTGCCAGGAAAGATTACAGGATCTGGCAGGACTCGGTTTAACCACACAAACCAGACTGTTTACAGTTTTTTGTAACCACAGGTTATCCTGGCCACCAGATTGGCTCACTTATTAATGGCTTCCACCATCCAATGCATCAAATAGAATGGAATATGAATGTAATGTCAAACTGACTGAACCCTTAAATGTTAATTATTGGTACTCTAATTATTGGTTAATTATTGGTCCTTTTAGAGGAAACCTGTGAGTTATATACAATTCATTACAAATTAGCAACAAGGTGAGCTGGAAAAAAAAAGCTATCAAAAAGTATCACGTTCAGTTCAGACGTTCAAAAATCACAGAAACTTATGATTTTTTTTTTTTTTTCCTCTAAGAGTTGGGAAAAGACCAAGGGTGGGCGGGCGGGACTGTCTCGGAAGCCTCTATGCCAAGTGTTCAAAAAGCCAAAAAGCGAAAAAGTGCTGGGAAAGTGGGGGTGAGTGCGGAATCCTCATTCCCTTGTGGGCGACCTCTGCTCAGCAGACCGAGTGGGAGTGAGAGTTCGGCGCTGGCCGGCTGGCACGCAGTCTGAGGGCACACCCAGGCCAAAGTTGCCCTTGGTAAAACTTCCCGTTTGGAGATGACTAGGGCAAAATGGCTCAGGCAACGCCGTAAAAAAGAGTGAAATTGAGATTCAAAACCAAGGACCCAGGCTTAGCTCAGTCGGTGTGGAGAACCCAGGAGGTTCATTTAAAAGCGTTTGCGTCGGGGGAGGCCTGGCGGGGATGGGGGTGTTCCAGGGGCCGCCCCAGGGGTCCCCCCGGGGCGCAGAGCCACGGGGGTCGGAGAAGGGCGAAGGGCGGCTCTGAGGCCAGTGACGGTAGAAAGCTCCACGGGCAGAATCCCATTTTTGTCCGCTGGAACCAGGACAAACAGGTCGCCAAACAGGGGCCCCAGCAGTTGTTT